TCTCCAATAAGTTAACTGATTGATGTTTCTCTCTCTCTCTCTCTCTCTCTCTCTCAGCATGTCCTCAGATGAGGATTAAAAAATAATAACAATAATACTGTTTACTCAGGCTTTTTTTAATATATTTTTTTTATTTCCGAAAGGAAGGGGGAGAGAGAGAGAAACATCAGTGATGAGAGAGAATCATTCAGTCAGCTTCCCCCTGCATACCCCCTACTGGCAATCAAGCCCACAACCCCGGCATGTGTCCTGACCGGAATCAAACCTGGGACCCTTAAGTTCACAGGTTGATGCTCTATCCACTGAGCCAAACCAGCTAGGGCTACTCAGACATTTTTAAGTGAAACTGGTCTGTCTGTTTTTTAACCAAGAGAACATAGTGGGAAGAATACAATAACTACTAGTAAATTTGGAGTCATTATCCTGATTCATGCTAAGTCATGAGCAGTTTTACCACCATTTCTTTTGCAACATCAATGCAAATGTCATGGCACTGGAAAAAGTAGCGTGTAAGTATTATTTTGAAAATAGTTTTGAACTTACATACTTTCAGGGGTCCATGGACCACACTTTGAGACCTCTACCTATACTAACCTTATATCAGTTTACATTTTATATGTAGTACTTATGCTATGTCAGAGTTTTAAATGCTTTATAAATATTTTCATTTAATGCTTATTAAGAAAGATGTTTTTATTTCTCATGAAGTAGGTATTATTATTGCCCCATATTACAGATAACAGAGTAAAGAGGTTAAATAACTTGCCCCAGGTCACACTGCTAATAAGGGCAGAGCTGGGGTTAAATTCATGCATTCTGACTCCAGAGTCCATGCTCTCATCCACTGTGCTTTTCTTGAATGTCCCTCTCACCTCAGGGCTTTTGTACATAGTGCTTCCCTCTACCTGAAGCACTCAACTGAGTGCTTTTATATCTATTACCTGAAATACTCACCTGAATCCCAACCCCACTTTCATTTCAATTGTGTTTTACTTCCTCAGGGAATTCTCCCCTTATCTCCCTAGGTTCCCTTTCTTATATTTCATAACATCACTTGCCTGTTATTAGTACTTACCACAGGTACAATTTTATATGTATTTGTGAAATGTTAAACTAAATTCTCTGTCTCTCTCTCTCTCTCTCTCTCTCTCTCTCTCTCTCTCTCTCACTCTCATAGGGACTTTGTGTGTGTTTTTGCCCAGTGCCTAGAACAGAGCCTACTAGTATATATGGGTAAAAGAGTAGAGAAATGAATGAATAGAATTCATTTGGCTGTATGGAATGAGGGACAGATCTAACTTAATTTTTTTCTAAATGTTTAATCAGTCACAGCACCATTTTTTGGAAAAATGAATTATCTTTAGTTCACTGACTACAATATCACCTTTATACTGTTATATTCTCTATATACTTGACTTAATTTCTGAATTTGCTGTTCTGTTTTATTGATCTATTTATTCCTTTAAATCACACCCTTAAGTTGTTTTAGCTTTATGGTTTTATATTGGATATAAAAATTCTACTATATTTATATTAGATATATGTAGAGAAGTCTAGCTTCCATCCCTGTCCTCTGCTCTGTTACTTTCCCCATAGGTAACCATTTTTATGAATCTGTCTTTGGTTTTGGAAAATATAACCAAATATTATATATGTAAAAGGTTAAGTGACCCGCCAACTGGCCAGTAGGTATGACACGCACTGACCACCAGGGCGCTCAACACAGGAGCTGCCAAGCAACAGCAACTTTGTAGAGTGCCCTCTTGTACTCCAGGGCCCCTCGGGGGATGTCAGACTACTGGTTTCAGCCTGATCCCTGCAGGCCAGGCCAAGGAACCCCACCTGCTGGAGGGACCCCACTCACTCCGCAAAGGCCCTTCGAGCACTGGTGCCGCCTCAGGTGTGGCTGGCCGTGGT